ATAGATCACGGAAAAGTTATTCGCCGTAAAATTCATTAAACAAGAACTAGGTGGCGGAGGTGAATTAACCTTCGGCAATTACGATAAATCCATAATCAAAGGAGATATTATCTGGGTAAACAACACCGATGAATACTTTTGGACAGCAATTTTAGATGATATATACGTCGATGATATAGACTTGGAAGTTGGCGGTCCATTTATTTTCGATACCGGTGCAACTTACATATTTGCATCTTGTTCAATGGTCGAGCGTATTTATGACTCGATACCTGGATCCCAATTGTTTGTAGATGGAACTTGGGTATTACCGTGTAACCATACCGATAATAAATACGATGTAAAATTGCTATTCAAGAATCTTAATTTCACTATCCCAATAAAAGATTTCATACAAGAACCAGTAAACGCGACTGGTCTACCAGATGACATAGACCCGACTGGTCTCTGCATTGGTGGTGCTCAACAAAGTGATTCGGATTATATAATTGGTGCTGTTTTCTTCAAGGTATCAATTATTCGATCACACGATATCATCTATTTTATCATTAATTATTAATTATGTCTTTCTTTTTCAGCTCTTCTACGTTATTTTTGATCAAGATGGAGATAGGATCGGTTTGGCTTATCGGAAAGAAGTTAATGGTTCAAGTTCATATTAATAACAATATTATTTATATCAATGATATTAACTGAGAGGGATATAACGATAATGGGTGTTTATCTAAAGAGAACCACTTTATAAATGCAGATTAATTCCATATTAAAAACTGCCTCCAATTAATAGAAAAAATAACTTCACTCATGCATATTTCCCACATACATTGTAGATTAATAATAATTATTCAGAGTAGTCTATTTCTTTTTATTATACATGACCTCAAACACATTCCAATACATGTAATACACGTTTTGGATCACGTATATGCATTTTTATGATTGGGGTGTGATCTTTATTACGGTAATACACGAATTGTTCGATATTTTTTCGGAACGCGTGAAAAGATTATTTCTTTATTGCATAAAATATAATAAATATAATAAATACAATTATCGGTTCTTTACTCCACCCCCCGCTATAGCAAGTACAAAATTTCTTGTGTAATTTGATTGTGTTCCCCAAAATAGGGTTGTTTGTTCTGTTTATTCCATGCAGAAAAAATGGGTTCAATCAATGTTATTTTTAAAACTCCAAGAGAAAGCTGGCTTTTTTATGACCGTAGTTGCATAAATTTTTGCGTATCATAAAAAATTAGGAACGCGAAAACGTTATTGTGTGAATCTGTTTTCGAATTTTTTTTAAATTGTCGCTAGTTTCTTAAGCAGCAAGAGAGAAGCAAAAATGGCTTCTCTACGCCTATTTTTTGTATGTTTATGTGGGTGGTGGTGTATCATTGCACTATTTCAAATGCTAGTTACGTCATATGAAATCAAAATCTCGTATACGGACGACGAACTTCAGGCAAAAGGTCTCGATTTATTAGATCAAGCGAATTATCCTAAAGGCGACGTAGTTTTACGCTTTGCAAGAGCTAATTCCACCAGTATTTTATGCTCCGAATCAAATTTGGTTTTGCGACTAGTGAAAGTTGATGGGTCTGTTAGTAAAATACCTGTGGATTTCAGATTTCCAGATTTTAATTTTTGTCAAGACATTACTGATAATGGTGTTGATGGGATTTGGATGTACCCGATACCACCCAATTTTATAATAATTACGTATTTTACGGCGGATGATCCAAAAAGTTTTTCTAATGCTCAGGTGAAAGGATTATTAATAGATACTAGTGGAAAGATTTACACGTAAGTATTTAATTGATAATTTAAATCCACAGCTCGTTATTAATTAATTGAATTATTTAATAGAAATGATTATCTTTTTGGTCCTGCTTTCTTTCCTGCACCGGGGAAATTAAATCCGGGTGGAATAATCCTTAGTGCTATTCCGGGACAAGGGTTTATATTCCTTATTGATGATAATCAAAGCAATGGTCTTCTTTGGACTCTATATACTAACCCGTAATTATAATTTTTCGCTTCCATTTCATTCGTTTGTTTTAATCTATACAAATAATCAGAATATTATTATTTTCTTTATTAGGGATACAAATGGAACTTTCAGCCCAGTAAACAATCAACAAATAATTCAAGAGCCTGAGAAATTAATACGACCTAAACTTTGGGCTACCGCTTTTTCTACTTTGGATGGTGGATATGCAGTCATTGGCGGATACAACGTAACAAATGCCACAACAGCTTATGATCCTCGTTGCCGTGTTTATATAACATTCTTTAGACCTCAGCTTAATGGTGATATCGATCAAGTTGGTCCCTATCTTTTCTACCAATCATATCTCCCAGATGTTGAATCATTGCCAATGATTTGCAGTAACTCAAATCGGGGTATTGGCTATGTATGCCTTGCTCGATCAAGTGTAACAACAACAGCCGGCAATATTACTTCCACAGAGATTAATTATCAACTTATAAATTTCCTCACATCAGGTTCTGTAACAGACACCAGATCTCTTCCTTTAGGTAAATCAAACGTTAAAGGAAATATAAGTACAAATGCAATTGCTCCAGCAAAACTTTATTCTCTATTCTACGGAGGATATTTACAAACTTTTGGCATCCTTGAAAATAATACATTATCGTTCACCGGATCTATTTTTGACGATCAGGGTAACTTTTTTGAGCAGTGGGGTTTTGGAAGTTCATTAAAAGTACCCAGCACGACTGCCTCTGATATTGTACTAGAGAATAATACATATGTGGTTTTTTATTTCGTCAATAAAACATTGACTGCAACTAGTACAAATTTGCACAGATTCTATAACGAGAGTAAGTATTATTGATTTTTGCTGAAATTCTTGTGAGTTTAATTAACATTTTTTCATCTGAATGTTTTAGCAATAGTTAACAGTCGAAACATTAAAGAGGTATTACCATTAAATGGAACCTCTATTAGCTCTAGCTCAGAGAGTCTCATAATTATATATGATAGTAATGTTACCCTTTCCAACAACAACATTACTATATATCAAGAGAATCCTGACGTTCCCGATGGCGGTCACGATCTTCCCCGAATGTTTTGTAACGCAAAAGCAATCCGCGGGTGCTCTCTTAAACCGATTGGCAACCGAAAATTTAATTTGACACCTTTAGCAAGCACATTTAATAAACCGGGTGCATCATATTATGTACAAATTGATACGGATTTTGTAAAAGATACTAAATTGGGTGAACCAATTCCTGGTGTTGTGAACCGTACTTGGGGACTTCTCTACAGTAAGTGTAATTGCATCATTGTGTATTTTTATCATTATTTTTATTAATTGAATTAATTCCTTTTACTTTAATAGATCAACCTGAGGAAACTTTTGCCGGTAATTATAGTACAAATAAAGTTTCATGTATCAGTATAATGTATTTTATTGATTAATTGAAATCTCGCTCTTTATACTTTTTCAACGTAGCTACTACGATAACACTCTTGCGATTAACAAGAGACGGCTCTAAATATTTCAACGAACTTTCGTCCTCGGAACGAAGCGAGTTTTTCGATGAGTTAAAGCGAGAGTTGGTCTTAGCCATTCCAATAGATCCATCCCGTATATCTACTATAAAAAAACACCAAATAGATACTTCAACACCCGAGCATCAAATTTTAATTTCTTACACATTTGAAAAAACCAGAGAACCAAACCAGCGAAGCACAAAATCATTGATTAATGATCTAGATATCTTAGTTAGAAATAAAGAGATCTCTTCCATCTCATTTTACCCTTTAACTAACTTATTAGATAAAGAATATGGGTCCCATGCAACACGTAAGTCAACGTTTTATTTCTATTCTAAGAAATATCTTCAACGTTTGATAATTTACTTTTTATTTTTCAATTTAGCCAATCTTTGGGACAAATACAAGACCAGGCTCTTGATTTTATTCCTTGCTTTGCTTCTCGTATTAGTTCTCTTCATGATGGCTAGGATTCGAAATAATGAGGTATATTTTTTATTATTTTGAATTAAATGTTTTTTACGTAGCTGATTTAAATTAATCTATTCATTTATTTATGATAGGGAAACAATTGGGCCATTATGCAAATTGCTTTAATTCTGCTTGATTTTGCATTAGACGTAGCGTTTTTGATTAATAACGCTAGAGATGTGGAATGGATATACTTGCCAAGGTCCAAATTGTTGTTAATATGTCTCAACAATATTTTAAACAATATTCTAATACTGACTTTTTTTGATTTTTCATCTCATTAGTTTACTGTTTTTACTTATTCCCGTTGTGTCTAATTGCATCTTGGCCTTTTTAATTTTCCTCCACGAACATGAGCACAATAAAATATTCCTCAAGTGGTCAAATAGAAACATCAAATTAATTCCTGCGTTTACAGTACTGGCTGCTGCGGATGTTGAGGCACTTAACATTCTTGGTTCTAGATTAGCCGGTTTAAATGCGTTCAGTGCTCCATTTTCCGAAAAGGCTATGGCATGGATTTTTTGGGCTAGTACATTTAACATGTTTATTGAAGATTTACCCCAGTTAATTATTCAAGTAAGTTGTATAAATGTTTTTTTTATGAATTATCTGTAAAATAGATCACTTATTTTTTACTCTGAATATTTTTTTAGGTCTTATATCAACGTAATACCGTGACATATGATATTATACCACTGCTTGCCCTTGTCACTAGTTCAGTGATGCTTACAATCAATATACTTGGACGAATATATCAAATTATTCATTATCTTCGTCAAGGACAATTACGTTATGCTACTCCTCCAATAAAAGATGAAGGCAAAGAAGATCAAGATTCTGGTCTTAGTCGAGATAATAGAACAGACAAAAAGAATGAAGAAAGTCAATTAATTTTTACGAATATTCAACAACAGCAACAATTTAATGCGCACAATGTGACAGTCGCTCAATCAGGAGCATCAACGCCTACGTCTACATCAGATCAAGGTGCTCAATATTTGACTGTTTATACCGATGGAAATGATCATTATCCAGAAGCTACCGGTCATCAACCTCATACTCCTACCACACATTAATGATACTTGAGATTTAATATTTTTCCTAAGCAATTTTTTATTTCCGTTCATCTTTTTGCATTTTAATATTTTGTTGATTCAAGAACTTAATTAATAATTGGATTCTGTGATGTGATTTTTTATTAACGGTCAAAGATTTCCTATTCTATTTATTCCTTTTTCCTGTTCTATTTGATTCCCTTTTCCTATCCATTTTATCGTAAACTAAAAATTTCTGGAATCATATTCAAAAAAAGTTCTCGACCTTTTTTACATAGAAAAGATATTATAATATACACTATCAATTTAATGTATTATTTTTTTGTATTACTTTTAGTAAAGCATCAAAAAATCTTTGGGGGGGGGGAGGAGGCTACAAACAAAAGATATATTCAATAGTATAATACTTGTGGTTTTGATCTTACTTATTTTCAAGACGGTTCATTTTATAATTATGATATAAACTAGAAAATGAAATTTCTCAGCTATACTTTTCTTTGATGATTTTTAATATCACTATTCAAATAGACAAATTAAAAAAATTCTTTATAAAAAATTGAAGTAAAAAAATATAAAAATAATAATAATAAAAATAACAATATCAAAATAATAAAAATAACAATATCATAAATAAAATTAATGAAATTTATAATAATAAGCTAATAAGTATAATGTAGTTTTGTTGTATTTCATATTTAGTATACTTGTATTTTATTAAACAATTTTTATTTATATATATATTTTTATTAAACAATTAATTTATTAATTAATTCTTATATTTCATTGAGTTATTTTTAAAAAATCACTAATAAAAGTACTAGTACAAAAATTAGTAAAAATATTAGTACAAGTATTATTAATAATACTAGTATTAGAGCTAGTACCAGAACTTATATCAAAATTAATATCAAAATAATTTTAGAATTAGTATTAATCAGAACTAATAATCATATTAGTTATAATACAAGTAAAAATATTAGTTAAGTTACTAGTAAAATTACTAGTTAAACTAATATATTATTTAAATAGAAAAAATATATAAATGATAGTTTTATCTTGTAAATAAAAAATAGATCTTAATATTTTAAGAATTATTTTAGATTTGATTAATTTAGATAATTAATTAAGAAATTAATATTTTTTATAAATAATATATATATTTTTCATAAATAATATATAAAAAAAATAATCATTAATTTATATTTTTGAAATTGAATAAAAAGTTACAAGTTTACTAATTTTTGAAATCAAATTATTAATTATAAAATTTTATTACAATCAAATCTCTCTATAGTCATTACTTTCAGAAAAATAAAATTGGATGATTATAGAGAGAATGTAACTATAAAGAGATTTTTTTACTATATTTATATATAAATAGAAAAATAAAATAAGAAAATTATAGAGAGATGTGACTATTAGAGCTCTAAAAAGTTTAGCTTATTAACTCACATATAACTTGTATATATATAATTTAATTAATAGAATTTAAATCCATATTATTAAACTATATATAAAATTTTAGCTTGAGAAATTTGAAAGCTAACTCATTAAGGACTCTAATGACTATAAAGAAATTTGATTATATATAATTATTAATACAAATAATATTTAATTAATTTATTTATTCAAATATTATTTTAAAAAATTAACAAAATTAATTTATTTAATTAAAAAGAATACTAAAAAATTTTATCTTAAAAATACAATTTAAAACTAAAAACTTTATTAATATATTAATAAAAGCTTTAATAATTCTATAATTAATATAAATCTAAAAATATATTAATTAAGCAATAAAGATAACTTATCTGAAACTTAAATTTAAATTAATTAAATATAATATCTAATTAAAAATTATTAAGTAATTTAAATTAATAAATATTTAGTAATATACTTTTGAAAAAAAAATAAAATAATTAAAATTTCAAATTTTAACAAAAAACAAGATTAAATTAGTTAATCAAAAGAAATTTTTAAAAATTCTATTTTATTTTATACAAAGATAATTTCAAAAAATAAACTAATAACTTTATAATTCAAAATATTATTATATAATATATAATATTTAAAGATTAAAATAAAATTAATAATTTTTAAAAGCTTATAACATATTATATTAAAATAATACAACAAAAAAAATTATTATTTTGTAGCTAAATTAATTTACAGCAAGTTATTAATTATATTTTTTAAAAATTATTATTTTTAAAGTTATAATAATTTTAAAATATTCTATATTATTATAAACAATTATCAAATAGAATATTAATATGACTTGCAATTAATCAATCAAAATTGTATTTTCTTGTATCAAGTTTTGATTAATTATTCTTAATATATATGATTATATTATTTTAGATTCTATTAACTATTATATTTTCTTTCTTTCTCTTTTATTTTCTCATTTTCTCGTTCTCATTTTCTTATTTTCTTTTTTCTTTTTGTTTTTTCTATAGTAAAGAGAAAAAAATTTATTAAGTTCTTTATGAATACAATAATAGAAAAAGAGAATTAGTCAAAAAGATTAAAAAAAACTTGGATAAAGATGATAAATATAGAAAAAAAGAAAGAGAAAAAATAAATAAAGAGAAAAAAATAAATTTAACTATAAAAAAAATTTTGATATTCAAAATGAAAAAAATAAGAAAAGTATTTGACAAAATTATAGAAAGTAAACTAAAGTTACATCCAAAAAAATGTCACTTTGAAAAATTAACACTGTCATCATTGTGATATATTATATATTATTTAGCTATTTGTTAACATGCTAGAGCAAAATACCAATTAGGTGAGCATAGTGTCATTACCATGAGAAGCTTAATATTTATCTATAATAATGATATTCTCTTATATAATAATAGTATTTGACAAAGAACAATGATTATTAGAATTCTAATTGGTTTTTATTAAGATATTTTAATTGGTTCTTTACTATAAATATTATAAATTAGATTTATATTATAATATATACTTAATATAGATCATTTTATTAAGATTTAGCATGTGTTTTATTTTTATATTTTAATTGGTTCTTCTCATATATTTATTTTTCTTTGTGTTATATTGATATTACCTTGTATTATATTAAGTTTATTTTATGTTTAATTAGTTTTATTGTATAATAGCAAAGGAGTACTAATGATATTTTAGTATTTTAGCATGTGTTAGCATTAGATTTAAATGTATTGCTATGATTACTTTAAATGAAGGATTTCTTTACTATTAGTGTTACAGTGATTCTGGATAGTGGGTTTCACTGAGAATCACTATAAGCATATGATGTTGGAAGAGGGGTGATTAAACTTAAGTAAAGTGAATGAATTATAAATATTAGCAAAGGTTTCTAAGGCCTGTGCCAATATCTACGGATATTGTGTGTTCAAAGGTCTAA